CTCTCTCTCTTGCTCTCTCCCCTACCCCCTTGCTGCCACTCACCCCCTTATACATCCCCCACACCCCCACCCCTCACGGAACCCTCTCTCCATGTGTGACCCCTGCTGCTTAGACGACACTCGGAGTGGCAAACAGAACAGCATCGCAGTGTCCTGCCGGTTCAAGCCCCAGAGACACTCACTGACACACTCACTCACTCACACACTCACCCAGAAACACTCACTCACACACTCACTCACACACTCACCCAGAAACACTCACTCACACACTTACCCAGAGGCACACACACACTCAATCAGAAACACTCAATCACACACTCACCCAGAAACACTCACACACTCACCCAGATAAACTCACACACACACTCACTCACCCAGAGACACTCACACACTCACCCAGAAACACTCACTCACACACTCACTCACACACTCACACACTCACCCAGAAACACTCAATCACACACTCACCCAGAAACACTCACACACTCACCCAGAGACACTCACTCACCCAGAGACACTCACTCACTCACTCACCTAGAGACACTCACTCACTCACCCAGATACACTCACTCACTCACTCACCCAGAGACACTCACTCACTCACCCAGAAACACTCACTCACACACTCACACACTCACCCAGAAACACTCACACACTCACCAGAGAAACTCACACACTCACTCAACCAGAATCACTCACACACTCACCCAGAGAAACTCACACACTCACACACTCACCCAGAAACACACACTCACCCAGAGACACTCACTCACCCAGAGACACTCACTCACTCACCTAGAGACACTCACTCACTCACCCAGATACACTCACTCACTCACTCACCCAGAGACACTCACTCACCCAGAGACACTCACTCACTCACTCACCCAGAGACACTCACTCACTCACTCACCCGGAGGAGCCACTCACTCACCCGGAGGAGCCACTCACTCAGCCACTCACTGATCCGAACCCACACTCACCTGACCCCAAACTCACACACTCACCGGAGCACGTGCTCTCTCACTCACTCGCCAGAATGCACATCCGCTCCTCGACTCACCCGAAGCTAAACTCACTCACTCACCACTTACACACTCACCCGCTTACCCGCTAACACACTCACCACTTACACACTCACCACTTACACACTCACCCGCTTACACACTCACTCATCTATCGTAACCCACACTGAACCATTCATCGCAACTCACACTCAAAACACTCACCCCAACTGAACCCACGCTCACCCCAACCCTCACCGACTCAGCAAAAACACAACACACAAAAACACAGACTCACTCCAATCCACGCTCAGCCGCTCACACGCTCGCTCACCAATGTCTACTCACCCACACACCTTCTCAAATGTACCCACGCTCACCGACTCACCAAACACAGAAAGACAAGGATCCCCCGTATAGCCTTCACAGACTATAGGGGCAAGTGCTGTTAGCGAGCACCTATGAAGGCCGGCACGGCGCACGAAGGGGGTGGGTGGCCAGCACCACGCCCGGCCGCCTTTGTCTCCCCAGTGGCGATGTTCACACACTGCACCAGGTGCTCATTTGAGGCTGAGTCGACCTAGGGGAGGCCCAGGACTGGTTCAGATATTCGTCACTGCTGTTGGCCATGAGTGAGAATCGAACCCGAGTCGCCAAGTTCGTAATGCAGCGTAGTGCTAACTGCTACACTACGCAGCCACTCATCGGATACAACCATCAGCCCCTCACCGAATCCTCGCTCACTCACCCACCCACCCACTCACTCACTCACCCACTCACTCACCCACTCACTCACTCACTCACCCACCCACTCACTCACTCACTCACCCACCCACCCACTCACCCAGCCACCCACTCACCCACCCACCCACTCACTCACCCACTCACTCACTTACTCACCCACCCACCCACCCACTCACTCACCCACTCACTCACCCACTCACTCAATCACTCACCCACCCACTCACCCACTCACTCACTCACTCACCCACTCACTCACTCACTCACCCACTCACTCACTCAATCAATCACTCACCCACTCACCCACCCACTCACCCACTCACTCACCCACCCACCCACCCACTCGCTCACTCACTCACTCACCCACCCACTCACTCACTCACTCACCCACTCACTCACTCACCCACTCACCCACTCACCCACCCACTCACCCACTCACCCACCCACCCACTCAATCACCCACTCACTCATCCACCCACCCACTCACTCACTCACCCACTCACTCACCCACTCACTCAATCACTCACCCACCCACTCACTCACTCACTCACCCACCCACCCACCCACCCACTCGCTCACTCACTCACTCACTCACCCACTCACTCACCCACTCACTCACTCACTCAATCACTCACCCACTCACCCACCCACTCACCCATTCACCCACCCACCCACTCACTCACTCACCCACTCACTCACTTACTCACCCACCCACTCACTCACTCACCCACTCACTCACTCACTCACTCAATCAATGACTCACTCACTCACCCACCCACTCACTCACTCACTCACCCACTCACTCACTCACCCACCCACCCACCCACTCGCTCACTCACTCACCCACCCACTCACTCACTCACCCACTCACTCACTCACTCAATCACTCACCCACTCACCCACCCACTCACCCACTCACACACCCACACACTCACTCACCCACTCACTCACTCACTCACCCACCCACTCACTCACTCACTCACCCACTCACCCACTCAATCAATCACTCACTCACCCACCCACTCACTCACCCACTCACTCAATCACTCACTCACTCACTCACTCACCCACCCACCCACCCACTCGCTCACTCACTCACTCACCCACCCACTCACTCACTCACCCACTCACTCACTCACTCAATCACTCACCCACCCACCCACTCACTCACTCACCCACCCACCCACCCACCCACTCACTCACTCACCCACTCACTCAATCACGCACCCACTCACTCACTCACTCATCCACTCACTCACCCACTCACTCACTCACTCACCCGCTCACCCACAGTCACCCACGGTCTCCCCACTCACCCACAGTCACCCACAGTCACCCACTCACCCGTAGTCACCCACGGTCACCCACAGTCACCCACTCACCCTATGCGACATGGGTCACTGCACGGCAACAATGAGGAATGGGGGGGGGGCAACGCTCCATCACCACGAGGAGGGGGTTGGGGGTGCCCAGAGCAACGAGGAGTGAGGAGCCACAGTAGGGCCGAGTGGGGGGGGGGGGCGTTAGAGAAGAGGTCACGGGGGGGGGGTGCAGGGGGGGGGTCGAGGGGGGGGGTGGATATTTTGGAGGGGGGGTGGATGCGGGGGAGCTAAGGGATGGATCAATGAGCCCCTTTGAATGAGAGAACGATGCATATTTTATGAGGTTTGTGATGTCGCGCTATCAGCATCGTCACGGGACAAAGGCGTGTCCCCCCCCCCCTCCGAGTTCGGAGCTCCGCAGCGAGCAGTGCACCACCCTGCGTCGCAGAAGCGGCCCCCGGAAGACGACCTCACAGAACTGCTCCTGAAGACACACCGCTCGGCCTCGCAGCTGGAATATCGCCAAATTAAAACCTCCCATATCGCACTCCGAGTCGCTGCTGCTGCTGTTGTTGTTGTTGTGCAGTCGTTGGCGATCATCATCGAGTCGCTCCACGCGACAACCCGCTTTCATCACGGCTCAGCCTCTGTGAGTGTATTGGTCTCGATGTGAACGTGCGGTTGTTCCACGTGGGGAGCGGTGGTGTAGGGGTCTGCGCTACGCTGCAACACGAAGCCGGCGAGCCGAGTTGCATTCCCGCTCACGGCCAACGCCGTTGATGATTATCTGAACCGGTCCTGGGTCACCCGTAGGTTGACTCGGCCTCAAATGAGTGCCTGCTGCGGTGTGTAAACATCAGCACTGGGGAGACAAAGGCAGCCGGGCGTGGTGCTGACCACCCACCACATTTGTGTGCGACGTGCCGGCCTTCATAGGTGCTCGCTAACAGCACTTGCCCCAAAAGTCTGCTCATGCTATTCGGGTGATCTTTGTCTGTATCTGTGGATTTGTATGTGAGTCTACTTGTCTCTATGTGATCCTATGGGTCTCTATGTGTAGTCTACGGGTCTCTATGTGAGTTTATATATCTCTACGTGATCCTATATGTGAATATGTGAGTCTATGAGTATACATGCGAGTCTATGGGTCTCTACGTGAGTCTACGAGCCTCTATGTGAGTCTAGGCATTTCTATGTGCGTCTATGAGTTTCTATGTGAGTCTATGGGTCTCTATGTGAGTCTATCGTGATCTCGCTATGCTAGAGAACCCGGGTTTAATCACAGGCGAAAAAATACCTGGATCGATTCCACGCCACGGCTTTAACATCAGTGGCGAGGGCGATCCGCTCACTCCGTCCTCCAAGCCACACCGAGCGCTTTGGTTTCAACAGCCCCATGCAAGCAGAACAAAGTCTGTGGGTTTGTTTATTTGTTAACCCTCCACTTGTTAGGGCTTTCTGTTGACGTCTCCCGGCCGAGTCGCCCGTGTTAAAGAGATTCACTCATAGCTCAGAGGGCTTTACTCAGCGGGAAATCAACTCCTGGTTCCGATTGTAATAATTTCCGTTCAAACTTTGTTTATAAATGTAACCAGGTAAGGCCCACTGAGATACGTAGTTCTGTTTCAGAAGCGACGTGGCTACCGCAGACGACAGCTCAACGAAGTGGCTTATCATCACGTGGAAATACACAGCAGCCAAATACTCTAAAACGCGTCGTGTTGATTCTAAATGTGGAGAGAAACACCGGAGGACCCGGAGAAAAATCCACACGACCACGGGGAGAGAGAGACACACCGCAAACTTCAAATACACAGCATCAGACGTCATCAGGGTCGGGATCGAACCCACGACCTCCTGCATACCAGGCGAGGTAGTTAACATCTCCTAGCCACCGCGGCACGAAGTGAGTCTGTAGATCTGCGCCACTCACCTGCGTCACGTGGGAGTCTTCACGGCCACCGTGGCAGCTGAGGTTGCAGGTGAATGGGAGGGGGGGGGGGGCAGTCCGGATGGTTCCCTTCCCATCTTCATGTTCTCATCGGCATGACGCTATCCAGGCTGCCGGTGCTGATGAGCGCCAATATTCCTGAACGCATAATCAGCAACAGGAGGGACGTCACGAGCAGAACGACCGTCACCATTGCTGCTGTCGCCATCGCCGGCAACGTCATTGCGTTCATCATCAAGAGCAAGCGGCCTTGTGATGTCGATATGATCATCAGCAGCATCATCAACATCAGCAGTATCTGTAGTATCCGTATCACTAGCAGCAATGCCATCATTAATATCACCAGCAGCATGACATGTTATCATCAACATCATCAGGAGCAGCAGGATCGTCATCACTATCAGCAACAGCTAGAGCAGCAGTAATATCACGATTAGCATCATCATCAGCAGCAGCAGTTACATCATCAACAGCAATTACAGCAGCAATATCATTATGATCAATATTATCATCATAAGCTGCAGCTAGAACACCAGTAATATCATGATCAACATCATCATCATCAGCAGCAGCAATATTGTCATGATCAACATCATCAGCAGCAGCAGCTACATCATCATCATCAGCTGCAGGCGCCGCCCCCATCCACGCCGTGGGGTGGATGGGGGCGGCGCTCAATCCTCGTGAATGGTTCCGTGGCGTCTGCGACGTTCTGGGGCCCCGTGTGTGGCCTCGCATCGCCGTGGCGGCGAGGCTGTCACGCCGTGTAAGGGCTCTGCTGCCACTGCTGCCACTGCCGCTGCTGCCACCTGAACGAGTGCTCGTGGATGTTTCCATGCGGAGTGAAAAGCCCACCGTTGACGGCTCGATTACGAGGTTAAATATTGGTGGAATTTCCTTTAGGGGAAATAAAAATGACTGAAGACGTTCAGAGCCTCCGCGGCAGCGGTCTCTGATGGGCTCGAGATCAGGGAGGCGGGCACGTGCGAAGACGCACCGAGGAATCGCGCGGTTGGATACGTACGTACGGTGCGAAAGAAGTTCAACGTTCATACATACAAACAAACTTGGCCACCGCCGCTGGCCGGCTATGGGATAATCCGCATGAGATGCACACGCGCGATTTTCACCGATATTGGTGAACACACGTGAACACACGTGCACACACGTGCACACACGGATACAATCATACGCATCATGAGTGTACGTTAGCACGCCAATTACATTGGCTCGCTGTTCTAGCGAACATTCTGTCACCGAAATATCAGCAGAGACATCCGCGCAAAGTTGAACACGTAGGAAGAGGCCTTCGCTACCAATATTATCCATAATCGAAGTTTTTGGGGTTAGATGACTAATGATGCTGGTTGTAATTACTGGCGAAACGTTGTAACCCAGATTGCAAATGTTGTGGCTTGGCTCTCCAACAAACCACCGGTGTGCTGTACTAGTACACTACACTATACACGACACTATACACTACACTATACACTACACTATACACTACACAACTATACACTATACTATACAATACACTACACAATACACTACACTATACACTACACTATCATGGCTTGGCTTCGCGAACGAAGATCTAAGAAGGACATCCCCGTCTTCTGCAGGCACGCTGGTGGCTGACGAGGCCTATGCGGGACAAGCAGGTCCTGCCACAACGGCTGCAAGTATAGGTCTCATCTGGGATGGGTGCTGAGGGATCATGGTTCTTCCTCCTTCTCCTTTTGTCCTCCATTCGGGCCCTGCGGGTATCTTCGAAGAAGGAGGTGGCCTGGTGGACTGTGTGCCGCCAGGAGTTGCGATCAGCTGCTTGTGTTGCCCACTGACGGTGATCGATGCAGCAAGCAGTGAGGGACTTCTTCAGGGAGTCTTTGTATCGCTTTCGTGGTGCCCCTGTGTCGCGATGGCCAGAGGACAGTTCCCCACACAGCACGATCTTAGGTAAGCGGTGGTTCTCCATCCTGGCGATGTGCCCTGCCCAACGAAGCTGTATCTTGAGGACCATGACCTCGATGCTGATGACCTTCGCTGACTTGAGGACTTCAGTGTTGGCGACGAAGTCACTCCAGTGAATATTGAAGATTGTACACTACACAACTATACACTACATTATACACTACACTATACACTACTATACACTACACAACTATACACTACTATACACTACACTATACACTACACACTAGTGCTGTACTAGTGACGAATTGGCCACGTTCTGTTTACGTGACAACCCTTACTAGTTGGCTGTGTCGGGTGGTGGTGGGTTTAACGACACACATTTATACATTTACGCGATCTAACCCAAACCTCCTCCTCTATCATGGCCATGCACGGCCACCATCAGCCACCGAGACCTCAGCAGGGAGCCATCATCGCCGCCAGCTCAAGTGCCGATCTCCCCTTCTGGGTTCCGCGGCCGCCGCTGTCACCATCCCAGAATCTCTTCCCTGACCTCGAAGGACGCTGCCGCGCGGACAGAGTGGGGCGACGCGAACGTCCAAAATAATAATAATAGTAGTAAAGACATCATAACACAGTTTTTTGATGGGGTTAGATCGCGTAAATATGTGAATGTGTCGTGAAACCCGCCACCACCCGACACAGCCAACTAGTAAGGGTTGTCACGTAAACAGAACGTGGCCAATTCGTCACTAGTACAGCACTAGTGTATAGTGTAATGTATAGTCTATTGTAGTGTATAGTAGTGTAGTGTGTAGTGTAGTGTATAGTGTAGTGTATAGTAGTGTAGTGTATAGTAGTGTAGTGTATAGTAGTGTATAGTGTAGTGTATAGTGTAGTGTACTAGTACAGCACTAACCGCTGTGTTGGAGAGCCAAGCCACAACATTTACAATCCGAGTACGACGTTTCGCCAGTAATTACAACTAGCTTCATCAGGCGACAGCCAGATGACTAAATGGCTGTGTCAGGTGGTGGCGGGTTTAACGACACATTCGTATATTTACTCGATCTCACAGCAGCACCGAGACGGATCTCTCCCTCCCTTCCTCCCTCTCTCTGCTGAAGCCCTCTCATCGTGGCCATCAGGAGACCTCCACACTGAGGATCTGGCCACCGACTCACGCCGCTACTGCGGCTGATGGCATCACGCGCGCAAGGACACAATTAGCACCCTTCTTCTTACAAGGGCTGTTAAACGACAACACTGATAACCGATTGAAATAACGGTTACGGGTGTACGGTGGTGGTGCATGATCCGATGACGGTTGTTGAACGATGACTACCGCTATTTAGCAGTGGATCGCGTTGGTTTGCTAACATCGCCTTGTGTTTCTTCCCGTTGGAACTTCAAAGCAACTCATTTCCTAGCGCACAGTCTTACGGGCTCCGGTCAATCGCGAATGCGCACTAATCACGCGCGGTGATCTCTTTGGAACGACACCGTTTTAAAGTCTCTTGCAAAACTGACTCAGGGCTCAGCGATGGATCCCCGAACGCGAGCCGGTAACGCGCTCCGGGTCTTCGGAGCCGGAGACCCCGAGACTGCGCCGAACCGATCGCACGAGGCGTCCACGCGGCGGTGACAGCAGCAGGTCGCCGTGGGGCTGCGGATCGTAGACGGTGTCGATCTGGGTCTGTTGAGACCGGTGCACGTGCCCATCGGCAAGGTGTGATGCAGAGGAATTGTGCAGATTCTTGTAGACGTGCAGTACGATTCTTGTAGACGTGCAGTACGGTTCTTGTAGACGTGCAGTACGGTTCTTGTAGACGTGCAGTACGGTTCTTGTAGACGTGCAGTACGATTCTTGTAGACGTGCAGTACGATTCTTGTAGACGTGCAGTACGATTCTTGTAGACGTGCAGTACGATTCTTGTAGACGTGCAGTACGGTTCTTGTAGACGTGCAGTACGATTCTTGTAGACGTGCAGTACGATTCTTGTAGATGTGCAGTACGATTCTTGTAGATGTGCAGTACGATTCTTGTAGATGTGCAGGACGATTCTTGTAGATGTGCAGTACGATTCTTGTAGACGTGCAGTACGATTCTTGTAGATGTGCAGTACGATTCTTGTAGACGTGCAGTACAAATCTTGTAGACGTGCAGTACGATTCTTGTAGATGTGCAGTACGATTCTTGTAGATGTGCAGTACGATTCTTGTAGATGTGCAGTACGATTCTTGTAGATGTGCAGTACGATTCTTGTAGACGTGCAGTACGATTCTTGTAGACGTGCAGTACGATTCTTGTAGACGTGCAGTACGATTCTTGTAGACGTGCAGTACGGTTCTTGTAGACGTGCAGTACGATTCTTGTAGACGTGCAGTACGATTCTTGTAGATGTGCAGTACGATTCTTGTAGATGTGCATTACGATTCTTGTAGATGTGCAGTACGATTCTTGTAGATGTGCAGTACGATTCTTGTAGACGTGCAGTACGATTCTTGTAGATGTGCAGTACGATTCTTGTAGACGTGCAGTACGATTCTTGTAGATGTGCAGTACGGTTCTTGTAGATGTGCAGTACGGTTCTTGTAGATGTGCAGTACGGTTCTTGTAGATGTGCAGTACGATTCTTGTAGACGTGCAGTACGATTCTTGTAGACGTGCAGTACGATTCTTGTAGACGTGCAGTACGGTTCTTGTAGACGTGCAGTACGATTCTTGTAGATGTGCAGTACGATTCTTGTAGACGTGCAGTACGGTTGGCTACGTACGGGTGTGAAAGAAGATCATCGCACTTACATGCGTAAGCAATGCTATGTTTAATGAATATAAACATTTATTTTTATTTTACCCGGTAAGGTAAGGCCCACTGAGCTATATAGCTGTTTCCAGAAGCGACCACCTGGCTACCACAAACGAGAGCTCAGCCAAGCGGCTTCTCACGTGGAAATGCGGAGCAGCCAAATGCTCTGAACGCGCGATGTTGATTCTGAACGCGGTAGGAAAAACCGGAAGACCCGGAGAAAAATCCACGCGACCACGGCGAGAGAAACACCGCAAACTCCAAACACACAGCAGCAGCAGCAGGCGTCAGGGTCGGGATCGAACCCACGACTTCCTGTGTACCAGGCGAGGTAGTTAACATCTCCTAGCCACCGTGGCGCCCTCAATAGGTAGCCGGTGTAGCGCATCTCGTCTCGAAGTCGTGATCGAATCA